TGACCGGCCACATTTTCATACCTTTCCCTACAATTTTAAATCATTTTTTCTCCTCCGCATATGATGTCTGCTGAAATATTGTCAGAGAAAAACTATATTTCATCGCGAGTACGCAACTTCACCGTAAGTACGTCGAGTTACGTACGGCAAAAACATAGTATATGCTGAACTTGAAAGGTTTCGATTTTGTTCTAATTGTTCTAATTAGGTTGTTTTAATACTCAGATTTTTCTCAAAAGTGATTGGCTTCAAGTAAGAATTCCAGACTCTTCATCCTCTAACGAATCGGTGTTTGTTTGTTTTTGGGTAGCACCACTTGACTAATGCTTCTCTTATCGTCTGGATTTGGGCGATCAAGGATTGTACGAAGTGTGGACGGAAAAAACATCAAATACCTCTGCATTTCTTGCAAGACTCCAATTTGCAACATACATATGCTCTGTGGCTTGCTCAGATAAAACACCAGGTTACAGTGAAGAAAATTTTCTTGTTGGAAAATGTAACGAAGGTAGCTGCGAAAGTAATCGCACTACACAAAAGCTCTCAGGATTTTCAGCGGCAAAACTAAAACCTCGACAATCAGATCGGCAAACAACCCTGGTAACAACGATAACGTTACCTGTTCACCTTTATATATAGTGATTGCTAACGTCTTAAGCATTTAAAATATGACAAATTAAGCAATAAAAGTTGTCTCGAGACAAATTTCTTATAACTTTTTTTCACTGTTAGTGCATGAGTATTAGTGACCGGTCAAAAACAGATTTTGACCAAGCTAAAATCAAGTTGACCAGTCATTTTGATCGGAGACCTATCGGCCGTTATATTGAGCCCTGTTCACCTCATAAAGAAAAAATTGGCTGACGAAGCTTTAAAACTGAAGATTGAAAAAGAATCGTTGCTGTGATAATATTGATTCATCAATAATTGATCGAACCATTGAAAGCTTACCAAAACGAATTAATACGGTCATAAATGGACCAAATATTAGAAACAATCGTATCAATACCATTATCTCTATTAATATTAATATGTGCATAAGCTATATATTTAAATGTCTGTGGTATGAACTTTGACAATTTAATGTAAACAATATCGGTACTCCATGTGACGCTACTTGATATAAAATAAACAAAATATGAATGATTTTTGTTGCAGTATCTTTTCAGGCAAATTTCATTTTACCGATATTGGTAGCAATTGGAATAATATTGGTTCTCCATCTGCAGCACAATTAAGAATTTTAATCTGTTCCATTTATATTGTTGTACTTTTATGGACCACCGTTTGTAAATGAAGTGTAAAATATCTTCAGAGATAATAAACAAGCGAAATAAATCGTGTACTAACACAGATTCATCAATACCTAAACTATGGGAGAAGTTAAACTATATTAGACGAAAATTCCTGGCATGTTCGTGGAGTACCGACACAGAGAACCGTTTTCAACAACACAATTGAATATATGCCCGATTCCATGCAACAAAAATTACATGACAGCTCTTTCACTCCTTAATCAAATAGTAAATGTCTTATGAAATCTGTGACGATAGGTTTATATTTTCTGTTATGGATAGCTTAAGCATTCCAATTTATTTTAGTTACATATTTAAGGCCACTAAATTTGGCAATGCCATTTTCGCTGTTGAAAATGTTAGTAAGTAAACAGTCTGAACTATTCAGGAATTTCACTCTAGTCAATTATTATTAACCTTGCGAAACATTTCGGGCAAGGTGATAAATTATCTTGAGGTATTTGCCACCAAAAATGGAAAAACACACATCTGACCTGCATCATCTGCATGTTAGATTGATCCAGGGAGCCTCCTTTTACCAGAACAATGGGAGCGTCAGCTGTTGCAAAGAAAGGCATGTCTTTGTTGAATTCTATGTCTTTGCTGCAAGTGTTTTTCGGAGCTGCAATATGCACTGTGTCACCCTCTAGTAGCTGCATAGACGGATTTTGTGGGGGGTGCAGGGGGGTGCTACCACCCCAATATTAGCTATAACCCCCCCCAACAAAATGTCCACCCCTCCAAAAAAATTTTCAACCCCCCCCAATATTCGGCATAAATAAGTAATTAAATAGTCCACTGCAACGTGCAGAGTGTTGATGATACAAAATAAACATAGGAGTACACTCGAACAGAAAAAGACAGTGCAACACTCTGAAACTAATCACTCCTCGCTTGCATTCACTGGTTTATTGGAGCAATTGTAAAGTTTTTAAACTCTATTATCTTCCCTGAATAGAGTTTGCAGTGCCTTGTCATGCGAATAGCTTGCACACAAGGAACGTTTGGAATTTTTACTATTTTTAGTTTTTAATTCTTTTAGGAAATAGACTTGCCTAGATTTAATCTTTATGCCCCAGATGTTATTTACATCGGAGTTGCATCATAAATTGTACTCGGATTCAAACAACACAATGTCAATGACTTTTTAAAAGTAAAAGCATATTGTGTATTGGCCTATTGGGTTTACACTTTACAGGTTCATTTAACTTTAAGTTTTTAACTCTCTCAAGTCTCAACAGATAATCAGACATGCCAAATCCATTGATATGACAAATTGACAACTTCAAAAAACTTTCTTTCGAAGCTAGAAATCATTTTTTTCAAATGTTTCCTGGGGTACTTTGTTTCTGCTCTCTAGACTCCCCCTCGCAGCTCTAGTGCTCCACCCCTAGAATATAGACCTTACTGGGGTTTGGTGACACTTTGTGTTGCTTCAGTCACCTGCTCATGGCTCACCCCCCTAAAATTTCTGGCACCACCCCAGTAATAAATATGAAAATCCGTCTATGAGTAGCTGCAAGAAGCGAAGATGCCAACGAAAATCATTTAGTAACACCACTTCTGCATCTTCAACCCCCATCCATGCAAATGTGCCTGTGGCTGGATTGGTGAAGGTTTTGAAAATTGAATGGAGGGCGATAAAATTAATGTTTTTCCCGTGTTTGCCGGACCATTTATGAACACGTTTCGGTATTTTCTGCAACCAAGATTAAGATCTCGAAATATCTGCAGTAATTGAACCCGCATTCAAACCATTTGCCATTGCAATTGCTTGTACACTCACTGGAATAAGCTTCCTTCAAAAGCTGGACACAGCTTTTTTGCATTCGGGCCAGTCTTTCCGGTGCTTCATGAAATTCTGTTGCTAACTCCAGTGCTTCATTTACGATTTTGTTGCCCCTGTTTGCTATAAACTCAGCTAGAACCGTTTTTCCCTCATTTTTTGCCTTAGGGCCAGATTAATAAGTTCTAACCTACTTTTGATTTTGTTTTTGCGAATGATATTGACAACATCAAACTTCGTGTCTTGCCTACTTTTTTTGCTATTGTTGCTGCCTCCATCGCTGGTGGGCCACTAAGCTGAGGATGTCCGTCTGACAGGAGAACGTTTTGGTCTTCTTTAGTGACGTATTTATAACCACTATACAGGGTGTATAAAAAAAACTGAACAGATATGAATTTGCTCTCAATTTCACAAAAGAGCTATTAGTATCCAGTTTTTTATGTATATAACTTCTATGGGTACTTATAATGTAGAATAATAAAAAAATTCTCAGACTCAAATTGTTAAACCAGGGGTGTGTGTCTTTTCCAACAAATTAAAAATGGCTTGCACACAAAATCTAAAAGCTTTAATCATTAGAGTTAATAGGTGGAAAATTTGTTGGGCTTTTAATTACTGTACGAAATTTCACACAATTTGCTTTAGTTTTGTAAGCCTGTTTGCTATTTATTTTTTTCTAAAAAATCATCCTTTCGCATGCTTAATGCCTTTACCTAATTTGCTTATTGCTGACATATGCAAATTAGGCAAAGACATTAAGCATGCAAATAACTGATTTTAGGAAAATATGTAAGTTTGCATGAATAGTTAAAGGGGGCTTAAACTAAAGCAAATTGTCTGAAATTTTGTACAGTAATTAAAAACCCTACACATTTTCCATCTATTAACTCAAAATATGATTAAAGCTTTTAAATCACGCTTGACAAAAAATGCATGCCAAAGCGCTAATTAAAAACGTAACAATTTTTGTTAGAGTCCGCACTTAAATTCAGGAAGACTGCTGACTAATTTGACTTCGAATATTGTGCAATTTCTTTTGCTTCTTGAACAGCTATGGTCGTTCAAGGGCAATAGACAGTCTATGGGGTTGAAAGAGGGATTTTCAATGATAATTTTTGTATCAAAGTTGCCATGGTTACTCGCATTCTTTTCCTTGGGAAGCGATCTTCTTTCAAGGCGTTCGCGCGAATGGCATCCTTTCACAACACTTGCTGAAAGTTATAGATTTTCGCCTTGTTTTAAGTTTTTTATTGTGGCTCAAATTGTTAAAGTTCTTCCGCTGTTGTGTATATATGTTATCGACTTAAAATCCTATGTTTTTTGTTTTTGGAATTTTGTTTTAAAATGCTGTAAAAATGCCGTTTTCACGGGGGCGTCAATACACTAGCTTCAACGTTGGCCGGTATATGCGCCAGAAAAAAATGGACAATGAAGCAGTCAACCCTAAGACAAAGCAAGTTCGGGCGACAGCTGTTAGTTGAGTATATATTTTAATATTTTATCAATAAATATCTTCAAATTTACAAAGTATTAGGCTATTTATATAAAAGGCTGGCGATTTGTAAACACTTGCAGTGTTTTCCACTGTTAAAATTTCCATCAATTATACCTGCAAATTTTGAAATACATCTACTTGTTTTTCTTTATACCAATTGGTTATGAGATTGGAGATGTGTAGCATTATAAATATTTTTCAGTGTAATTACAAATTTAGCACTACAGCCACTACTCACAGTCACAGTAGTAGTAAAATTGTCAATATTTACCAAAATATTGACCAACACTACATCTGATGTATTGCAGGTACCCAGACTAGTTAATGAGATAGAGGAGGTAGAGGAACTAGAGGATGAAGTTGTCCAGTAGCTTAGTCAGGCCGAAGTAGAACATCAGAGGGAGTTAGGTTTTTCCATTAACAGAAAGACAGCAGCAAGACGACAATCAGCACCGACTGGAGCACCTGGTTACAGCTTATCAGCAGGGAGGAAACGGAGAAAAGAGACAATGGAGGCAGCATGCATAATAAATGGAGGAAGTTTGGAAAATACAAAACCAGCAACAATTGGAATGGTGGAGGCACTGGAGACCAGATGTAAGGAAGGTGATATTATACAGGCAGTGAAGGGGGTGAGCATGAAGAAGTCAAAGTTGACAGTGTTGCCGAAGCTGTTGTGCCACAAATAAGAAACAGGCTGCGCGTATTAAGGTTGCAAACTGCCCCACCCCTAGGCTTGTTCCTTACTGCAGGTTGATGTCGTATATCAAGTCTATTGAAGTAGGTAAGTTGTATAGTGTTCGGGAGATGCTTTGTGATGGGTTGGACGAAAATGATAAGGTGAATGGTTGTTATAGAGATGTTGAAGAGCTTGTTTTGAAGTTGGCAGAGTTTTATATTAATAGTGGTGAGTATAATATTTTGACTTTTGATGAACCTAACACATTCCATATAGCTTTAGGTGGTGATGGTGCTCCTTTAGGCAAGGACGACACTGCATGCTCTTGGCTGGTGAGTATTCTCAATATGGGACACCACATACTGAGTAGAAATGAAATTTCCTTCTTTTCGGGGCTAACTGCTCTGAGAACTGTTTGCCAGTTAGATGCTTCATTGCAAAGCTAATGACTGATTTAGAGCGGATTCAGAAAAAATCGTATTCTGTATTAGCTGTCAACGGAGAGTCTGTTCAGGTTAAATTTGTTATTGGAGAACTGCCTAACGACATGAAAATGCTTGCATTTTTATTAGGAGGAGAACTAACCAACAGTGCTACCTATTTTTCTACCTTTGCAGATGTCAGTAAGGATACTATAGTTGATTGTAAAGGATTATTTGGTCCCCAGCCCACTGACACCTGGAAGCCTTGGGTTTATACCAAGAGAGTGAGAGATGCAAAGGCAGTTGAAAAGTTTAAGCAGAAACTGAATCCGAATATTAGTGAGAAGACCAGGAGATCGAAAGTTACCGGTTTCATTGCTAAGCAGAAAAGCAGACAGGAATTTATTCCCTTAGTGGCTGATTTAATCAACAAAGCCCACATTGAACCACTGCACCTGAAGAACCATGCATGTGCCCTAGCACATAGTCATCTGTTAAAACTTGTAATTTCATGGTCTAACTTGTCTACTTCTATTTCTACTTTTTCCCAGGTGCCACTCAAATCTCCCTTCTATAGGTATGTTGAGACTCTAAAGTCAAAGTGTGGCCTGAACAGGTTGGCTAAGAGGATCATTAGATGGTTCAATGATACTGGGCCTAATGGTAAGGATTTTTATTACTGCCTTACAGGTAAGGATTCAAGAATGTTTTTATATAATTTCATGTTCCTTATAAATGTTCTTGAAACTCTAGCTAAAATGAACAAGCTAGACTAGTCATTCATATCCATGCTTGTGTCTTTGTTTGAGAAATGCCGTTTCATTGTTTAGTCGTGTTAAGATAACTGAAGATAAAGTGGGTGAGTTAGAGTTGCATCGTGGAAATTTTTATCGCGGCTATTGTTTATATTTTCATGTTAATCCCACAGTATGGTCTCTTGGCAATGTTGTTCATAAGCACACTCAAGAAATGAAGTTAAAGTATGGGTTGGGCCTTGGGCTGAATTCAATGGAAGGAAGCGAAGCATATTGTTATATGACGATATTGTGCTAATACTTGTTATTTGTATAGATGGGAACAAGTATTCCGCCATGAATACATCTCTTTGGTATGGCTGTGATTCAATGCAAAAGCTAAAAAACCGACAACTCAATCCTACTTACGAAAACGTGTTTGCAATAAGGACCCCGAGTTTTGCAACTGTGGTTTTAACAAATTGGAATCTGATGTTTTTTGTAGATTTTGCAGTCACGAGCTCCGCACAAAGATAAAAGAAAGTATTGAAAAATGTGAGGCCATTCAAGCATAAGTTGAGGTGTACAGTTATTCTTGCATGCTTTGCACAGGAAGGACAGACTCTGCAGACACTTACCTTTTCCTTTGGCAAGCCCTGGCAGCTGAAGGAAAATACTGTTAACTGAGTCTGAGTTTCCTGTATGTTTAGTTGAAGGACATGCAGGGATGGATCCAGCATGATCTGGTAGGGGGAGGGGTGCTCTGGTGCTGACTGCCGAGTTGTGTTGGTCATGTGTGCCGCCCGCCCATCAACTACTGTATTTGAATTGTAATTGTTGTTCACAGTTCACTTATCATCAGTGTTATAATTACTCAAATTAGTGTATCTCATTTTGTCTTTTTTGCGTTATCATAAAAAATAGCACCCCCCTGCACCCCCTCTGGCCAGGGCTAGGGGGGTGTGCACCCCCCAGTAAATCCATCCCTGCAGGAAGGACTTACCTATTGAATATTATATAGAACTTTGACATTGATTAATTTTTATTGTGGATGATACTTGAGAAAACATTAACATGTATATGACTGTATTTGGCCATGGAATGACAGAATCCTAAACTTTTTCAGCCATATATTCCCTTTGTCTTGGAATGATTTACTGGAAGGGCCTTAATTTATTCACAATACTCAATAGCCGAATTCATATTAGTAGTCAAACTCGTCTCAGATGGACAAATTGGTTCTAAAAGCCCGCCTACATATTTGTCTGCATGTATGAAGCACGGGTGGCCGAGCAGCTTAGCGTGTTGCCTCTTACCACTGAGTTAAGCCAGTCACTGCACAAATAACTGAACGCAGTAGTACCAGAAGCCGGTGGGCTTTATCAACTCATGCCTTTGTAATTGGGTTGTAACCTGTTAAGGCTTTCAGTCCACCACAGAGTTGTAAAGTGATGTAGATATCAGAATAAGTCTGAGGAACGTATCCTTATTTAAACTTAGTCTTAGTCGACAGGTTTTTGGAAACAACTTATCCGTCGTAGGCAAGTTTCTCTAACGCCTTAGGTTACATTATTATAAATTTAGTGAATTTCCTGCCTCCCAAGAATTGTAGTCCACTAAAAGTCACTTTTTTACCATTTATTTAAAATATTAATTATAATTACAAATCACATTCTCATCACTTGAATCACTGTCTCACTCCCTCCCTCTCACTAGTCCCATGCATTATATATATTTTAGATTATCTCACATTCAGTTCATTCTCACCTATGATTGGTTCATCTTAATTGCATTATTTTTCTAATTATTTTGCACTATATTATTAAATCAACACAATCATCCCCAGTCTCCGACATAAATTCTTGGATCGAAAATTATAAATTCATTATTATAAATTTTAAATTCATGGCCGGGATCGTTATAATTATTTAGTGCCTACCCACTGTATACTGTTTATGTACGGTATATATATGCTTGTCATCATTTTATCATACAAAACCAAAGTATTCGCAAGGGGTGCTCGTTCGTTTTTATGATTGCCGTGTCAGTGGGATTTTATACTTTTACTATAATTATCTAACACGATTTTAGCATCAATAAAAAAAAAGCGTCGAAACGCCTTTACATCCTTCGGGTGTTGCGTCGATCTGGAATTCCACCCGCTGACTTGCTCTCAATCTATAACGCCTTAATCAGATCTGTTTTGGAATATGCTTGTGCAGTCTGGCATACCAGCCTACCTCAGTATCTTTCCAACAAAATTGAACGGGTGCAGAAACGT